GCTGTGCCCGCGGACAGATCCTTTTTTGGTTTCGTAAAGTACCTTTTCTTTTTACAGTGTAGGAGCATTAGATGTTGATAAAAAAAATTTCTTATCTTATTAGAGAATATGCTTCAATGTATCATTTAAATGCAGATGTTCTGATTCTCGACCGAAATGATTAAAACAAAAATAATATTGTTCGATCGTACGTCATTTAGCTTTAGTTATTTTCTAAGCATTGCCGTGGAATATACAGGAAAAGATAACATATTGAAAGTTACTCATCAAACTCCTGTGAATGATAGTGATTCTTTGAGTATAGAAAAAATAGATATTATTATTGGTCAAAGATATAACGCACGTGGTGTCAGACATTCCTATGAACAAGATCCTATTTCAAATGATCTTAATCGAAATATGTACCAAGGGAATAAAATAGAAAAAAATAAATAAGATTTAATATTAAAAGAGACTTATCATATTACAAATTCTGCTTATATATTTCAAGTATTATTATTAATAGTTCATATATAATATCTCAAGTTCTAATGATGGTTGTTAATATAGACCGAACATTGAATACCTATACTCGTATATACATAACTATAGAATGAAAAGAAAACATAAGAGTAAAGAAAAAATTTGCCTTTTTCATCTTTTTCAAATAAAAGTATAGCATCAAATACAAGTCAATTGTTGGTCTATATATACATATAAAACTCTCTTCATTATTGTATCTCATATACTTTAATTAATTAAGTTTATTTTTCCTTCTGCAAGTTTCATGTATCGAATAGGTAATCATTTGTTAGGTTATTAAATAAAAATCATTGTTTCTTGTAATCACATAGACTAGATTGTTTTACTATGAATATAACTAGAGCTGTTTATTCAAATAGAATTTGAACGAAAAAACACGTGTTGATTCGCTGATTCATGTATACGTCAGTGAGAGACAAAATCGAAATATGTTTCAATCGATATGAATAGAAACAAACAATACTCTATAGCTATAGAGAAGAAAAAAGAAGAGAAAAAAATAACAGATGTACATAGTATACATTATCTGTTCAAAACGACAAGATTAGATGGACGTGATTAGAAACGTACCAATGGGTACTGGTGACATTCATCCCATAGTTCTCGCCACATCTGGTGTTGCATCTTGTCTCGCCGTTGTCATAGAACTTGAATATAAAATTTTCATTCACCCTGCTAGTACTGATCGCATCAATATTTCATCAACATGTTCAATCGATGATGCACACAATTTTTTAATGATGATATTTAAGAATCTCTATGAATTAGACCCGTATGCAATCATCAAAAGTGTATTTATAATTGGTGGATGGAATGATATGAATTATTTGGCATTACGAAAGCAAATCGATCTAATCGTAATCATTGAGAAATAAAAATGAAACAAAATAATTCGTCATCACCTAACAATTTTGATTTATTTGTGAGTAAAATTATGTTTAACGTAATTGGTTTTAATTTACCAGTAAAAACATCCGATGCTAAAGATAAAGAAGAAGATGAGGACGACAATCCAATTGATTATGTCCTTGATGCTACTATCGTATATGATCGATCATTAAATTCTCATACATTTGTTATTGGCCAATATGCCGGTCGAGAATATTAAATGACTACTAATCGAAATGATTCATTATTACAAGTTATATATGAATTTGATCCGACATTGAAACATTTCCGAGCATTCATATGTGCGAATGCTTGTCAATCACCTTATTATACTGATTTGTTAAATCAAGTGTGATTCAATGTTAACGATCAATCATATATTTATGATTCTTTCGATGATGATAATTTTAAAAGAAAAATAGATACTTTATTATCACAAGTTAAAAAACCACAATCTTCTAAGAATAATAAAAAATTTTGCACTTTTGTGCTTTTTTTTTAAATATGTGTATGTGTGATAGTCATTTGTAGCAAGTAGTATGTGATCGTTAAGCTTTCAATAAAACTGCTAGTGTCACAGTGTTGACTCTTTTCCACTCAACATTACGTCGGTTTCGCGATAAAATACCAATGTTTCAAGAACAGATCTTGCCAAAATTGAATATCTGTTGACGCATCCCTACTAAACTGACAGAGAACAGATCTTTTTCTACAAAAAATTTTGTAAAATGTTTTAGAAATTTGCTGAAAGATGGTAAGGTTCATTAGATATAAAAAGAATTGGAATGATAAATTGATTTTCTGAGCCAAAAGAAAATAAATTGTTAAGATTTTTAAATGAATAAATAAAGAACATCGAAGAAAATTTTTATATGATTTAGATTATTTTATTCTAATAAATGCCTAGTCGAGTTCTTTTTGTCAAATGCATGACATACTGGAACGTCTGGATCATGAAAGTCATGCTCTATGGACACATCTTAAGACAAGCCATGTCAAGCGCATACGAGACGAAATTTCTCGAAAACATGTACGAATGGATGTTGTAAATACTTCTCTTTCTTAATGTTGTTCATGCGGATAACAGATCGCCCCAAGAAAAAAAAATTATCTACTACTTTTAGTCACCGTGTTAGTGAGTATTCTTATCTAATTTGCATGAGCTTCTTGAACTTCTTGAGTAAGAAAGTCATGCATTATGGACATATCTTGAGATCAAGTCATGTCAAGCACTTGAAAACAAGTTCGACTAGGGATATTTTATTTTTTTAAACATAGTCATTTATATATTCAAATACTTTTTTCATTTGAAATTAATCAAGCAGTTCTTAATAAAACTAACTTTAAATAAATATCTATAAATAGTTGAATATTTCATTTATTAACACTTTAAACTTTCTTATATAACTACTCATCCTTTTGACTAAAATTTTATTCTTAGACATGTATTGAAACAAATTCAGGATGACTAGTGTTCTCTTTTATCGTTAGATGTCCTCTTTTATAGTGAAAATGTTATTTATTCATTCTGTGTTGACAATGAACGAATAAAAGTGTCCTTTCAAAGTAACGGTCGAAATAAACTACATTCAAATGTGAATATTCGCACTTGTATTATGTTAAAACTGTTACGTACTGGTGGTTATCTGCTTATTGTAAGATATGATAGTGTAATTAGAATGTGTTTAAGTTTTGTTATATTTATATTTAACACAATATATAGCACATTTTTCAAAAGAGCAGTCATCTTGGATTTTTAACCACACAAGCCTTGCTCTTTTATTCTGTATAGACTTGCTGTCTAATTTGACAAAAAATAACGTGTGCTAATCAACACATATAAATCTGAAATTATTGATTAATAGATTGTTGTGAACAAATTATGCGATAAAACTTTAGAGAGAAAAGCTGCAGACTATACAGCAGAAACTAGCTGATAAATTTTCGAAACCGTAGCATTACTGTTTTAAGGAGACCTTCATTAATAGTTTAATTTCAAGTATTTTATAATCTTGATGAAACATATTAATAATCGAAGATCAATCGAAATAGAAATATGTCACATTTTTTGATACATAATTTGAAATATAACAGGTTTCTTGAAGTGTTATGATATTGGCTGTTTCTTTATTCAAAGAAAAAAATTATCTGAATTATTTAAATCATACCGTGGAGCAATATAAAACAAACCTTATTCAATTACTTGTGTAAATTGCAACAATGATTACATTTCTTAGAATTTTGAAAATGCCGATCATGTCGTAATATTATTTAATAATTCACAGGCGCACAAACACAGAATTCTGATTTTGCTTAGAGCATGTATCGATATCCTTAATCTATTAAAAACGAAGAGCAATTGTTCTTATTCATTCGATGGATATTTTTTCAATTATACGCTCAAAAGAAAAACAAACGTTTACAGACCTTTATTGACATAAAATATTAGCAATGGTGTGGGTGTGGGATAGGGTCTTCAGTACAACCATACTCACACCCACACTCACACCCACACCCACACACTCTTACTGCAAACCATGTAGATAGAATGATTATTACTATGTTTGCACAATACTAAGAGTTTTGTTAGTGGAAGATACTAATTTTATTTCAAGAAAGATGACTTAGTAGCTAATTTAACACATTATAATACAATTTTTCAATAATATAGAGGCACTATAACAAACTATTAGAATCTCGATGTGCTTAGTAAAAACCCAAGGTATGGCGAGCTTTTTAATCATAGTCACATCCACACTAACACTATAAAACTCGTAAAAAGATATTCATCTCAATCGGCTATAACCAGTATGGATATAAAGGGTGTCCCTGAAATTCTGAAGTAAATTTAAAATGCATCGTTCTCGCATTTGACAAAAGCAAACTGTTTGAAACTTTGGCAGATTATTGTGCATGCTTGGTACTAAATAACTACAAAGTTTCAGATATATAACTTGTATTATGCATGAGAACCAGTAATAAGACTATCATGTACTATTTTTTCAATTTTCCTATCTTTCGGATTTGCAACTTTTTTTTTATTTTGCCTATATCTCGGCATTGGTAAATGATGAAGTCTTGAACTTTTTCTTGAAAGATGCGCCATGAAAAGCTCTACAAAAATTGTAAAACTTAATTCCTATTGGCTTGTGTTAATGGTTTCTATCATAGTCAAAATGAGAAACCTACATGATAGTAGTACTTCTCACCATGCTGTGCATAATAAATAAATGTTTGGATGACCATTTTATTTTGCTTGTATCTCAGCTTGAGAAAACGAAAACACATTGATTGTTTTTCAAAAGATGCGCTGTCGAAAGCTCTACCAAAGTTGTAGAAACAAGTTCCTATTGAAAGACAAAAAAAAGTCTTCCAAGCATTTATTTATTACGCACAGCATGGTGAGAAGTACTACTATCATGTAGGTTTTTTTATATTGAGTATAGTGGAAACCATTAAAACAAGTTAATAGGAATTAGTTATTACAATTTTTGTAGAGCTTTTCATGGCGCATCCTTTTAAAAAAATCCAAGATTTCATCATCTACTTATGCCCAGATATAGGCAAAATAAAAAAATGTTGCAAACATTTTGGCACACCCGGAAGATGATCAGGATAATTGGAAAAATAGCACATGATAATGTTATTATTGGTTCTCATCCATAGTACAAGTTATATAACTGAAACTTTGTAGTTATTTAGTACTAAGCATGCATAATAATCTGCCAAAGTTTCAAACGGTTTGCTTTTGTCAAATACGAGAACGATGCATTTTAAATTTACTTCAAAATTTCAGGGACACCCTTTATAGTAACTGAATTGAAATGATAAAAATATATGAAAACGTTGAATATATAACGAAAATCAATTAGCAATGATTGTATTTCGAGCTATTGATGAATTATTTAATGATCAAGTTTGATCTCAAGCAGGTGACGTTAAATTTACATATTTATTGCACACTGAACATCAATTGACTTATTCAATGAAAACTACGCAAAATACAGTTGATTTAACAAAGAATCAGAGCCGATAACTTGCAATGATGTGGATAAGATTTCTAATAGACTTAGTGAATCAACACAATGTGTTGAACAACAAATACATGATGGTTCAATAAGGTTTTGGTGTAACCAGACTAATATGTGTAATTATAAAAAAAGTGTTTTTGATTATTTTTTTCATAAAATATCTTGATCAATTACACAAAACTTATCCTCACATTCTCATATGTATATTTTTATTATTGAAGTAAACGGGTGTTATCCGGCAATAGGTCACTTGAAAGCTTGATATGAATACTCAATGCTCATATGAAAGTCCTTCGCTCTGAAATTATTCCTTGTCTGCATTGCAATTCATTTAATCATCTCTGAAGACTTATGAAACATTCTGTATCACTTTTAATTTTGTCGGTGAATGAAAACAAGAATATGAAAATAAAACTATTACAAAAAAGCCAAGACAATTCGTTTCGTTTTCACTAAAGTTTTGTGTAAGATGGTCCCTAATACAGTCGCAGTGAGCACACTAATATTCAATACTTTTGTCTATTGCATGGAAGTACTAAGCTGATTCGTAGCATTATTTCACGCAAAATAACTTGTACAAAAGCTGGGTATCAGTAGGTTTGGATTTGTAGGAAGGATGTGAGTGGAAGTGGATTTCGGGTATTCATCCATATCTATACTACTTTTCACGTGCATTCACACACACACTCTCAATTAAGTATGTGTTCGTAGTTTTGACATTTTTTTGAAGACGTACATAAATTCAAGTTCTTGGCTCCTGCGACTTGATAACTATCGATTCTCGTAAATGATTTTTCGAAATAAAGATAATCAAGTAGCTCTGATAATTTGTTGCCTTTTATGTTGAGTAACATATATTCGTGCTTGAACAATGAATATATACACTTTATAATGAAACAAATTAATGAATAGAAGTGATACAAGAGCAGAACAAACAATATTAGAAACAATCAGTTCTAATCTACATAAAAAATTTTTACACGAAAGTATTTTCACAGACAAATAGTTAATTCTTTACGAACAGTAGCCGAATCGACTAATCCAATTTGTTTTGAAAAGCCATAGATGTGGCAAATGTTCACCATCAAGCAACACATCAAGACAATTGTAGTATTCATCAGTGTTTTTAAGTTGAATTTTGAGTGAACGAAGATTGGGAAAGCATTTAACAAGCTTGATGACAGTATTCAACGACTTTATTTTATTCTTTTCCAATATCAAATGTAATACATTGGAATAAATTATTGTATCTTTCAAAAATTCGAATCGTTCAAGTAAAGTCAATGTTTGAATACGTTTTGTCGGAAGAAACAAAATCATATTAATATTAGTTGTTTTCAAATGACGAAGTCGACGAAATTCCTCATGGTCATTACCAGAGATATTGCATTCGACCAGAACATTGAGTGTATGAATATTTGGAAAACGTCGTGATAAATCTGTACATGGTACATCAACAGTTAGATATCGAATATTCGGACAAATACTAATTGTATCATCATCCGCCAACATCGATATGTCAAGTTGTTCGAATGACCATGGAATTGTGTACAAATATTGACATAAACCATTCGATTTCAATTTGCATGCTAAAGGCCAACGTTTGCTTAGAGTTGCAAAAGTCTGAAAAAAAAAGTTATAATGAAAATATCATGCATATCAATGAAGTTTAGTATTCGAGTGATGGAATAGTTTACCTGCATATCGATATTATGGGCTGTCTGAATGAAACAATGAAATTGACGAAGTCGAGGCATAAATTGGGAAAATAGCATTTCTATTCGATTGCCTTTCACAAACTGTTTCTCGTTACTAATCCACTGTTTTACATCGAGTGTGAATTTTTCGAGTTGAATAAGAGGCATTACCATTCCACGTAAATGATCAAATGTAATTATCACCCGTTCTTCAGTCTTTATTCGAAATTCAGTCAAATGCATCATCAATTGACGCGGCCAAAGTCTTGGTACCGGTGATCGTTTAAGTGCGCTAGATTTGCGTACGGTAACATTAAGAAAGATTAAATTAGGCATCAAACCATCGAATAGTATAAATAGATCATCAATTGTTTGTAATGTAATGGTCAACTGTTTGAGATGCTGTTTCGGACATTGTTGTTTATCGAGAATAATGCCCTCTTTTATATTCAATTCAAGTTCTGCGAGTGAATTCAAATTATTATTGAATAATACATTGCGAAGACTTTCGATTTTCACGTAGTCAGTTGATGATTCTTTTTCAATCGATATAGATTCGACAATATGCAAAGATCGTAATAAACTAAATTTTTCTACACGTGATTCAAAGCTGGAGATGTTGCTCTTTGTACATTCTAACAGTGACAAACGGCGAACATAATTAGTACAAAATTTTATTGATGAATAAAATTCATCAAAAAACAGTGCAATTTGTGTGGGCATATTAATATTGCTTATTATTAACGTCGATGGTTGAAGACGTTTATTAGCAAATAAATTTAGATAAATTTGAAAATCCGTGTAAGAACATTCGGTCAAATCGATTTTTTGATGATATTTGGATATGCAAGAAAACATATGAGAGTTATAATCGAGAAATGCTTCGATTACATGTATGGGAGACAAAAAACGGCAAATCATAAGAATAATTTCATCGGATAAATTGTCGAAACGCGTAAAGTGTTGGATAAGACTCTTGGTTTTTGGCTGACATAGTTCTCTAGCCTTAAATTAAACCATGTTTTAAAGAATACTTCATTTATTATTCGTATACTTACATTTGTCGTTTTTATTCCTTGTATTTTATATTGTGAACGATAGTACTTATTTAAAATAAAATTCATCAAGAATGACATGCTTGAAAAATTGAAAAGAAGATATGAACGACTTTCAACTATACAAATACGTATTTATAAGGATGGCAGCTATGTCCGCGGTCGAGAATCATTCTTTTTTTGTCTCATGTAGACGGTCATATCATATACAATTCAATGCAGACTGACAGTCATTGTTGTATCTCTTTTATCACCAAATATATTTTTTACCAATATACTTCGAGAAGAAATGTATTGCATACGCATAATGCAAAATAGATTTTCTTGTATCATACATGTGACTGAATAGAAGGTAAGGGTGTAAGGTGTGAGTGTTGGCATTCTATTTAACCGCAACCACTCTTACTTGTTATTCAGAGCAAATTTTAATTATTGACAAGCTTACAAAAAAAAACAATGAATAAAAGTTTGAAATATTCAAAATAAAACAGCATTGCAATGTGGACCTGAGCAGGGACAATCTCAGCATCTGTTCATAGGCTATCGACCCAGTTGATTCCGAACATAATTATGAGAAACTCTTTTAAACCTTTATATGCTGATTCTCCAGGCTAGCAAACCTTTGCCAAAATCATTTGTGATCTATTCAGATTATAAAGTTTATCGAATTGTTTTTCAGTCAATAATCTTTTCTGTTTTCCAAGCATGAATTTTAAATAAAATAATATACCATCTTGAAGATTTTCACAGTGAAACTTTATTATGAATCGGTTGGATGCATCAAAATGGTTATATTTTGTGCAAAAGAAACCAATTAGAAAAAAAACAGAAAAATTTACTGTTTTTGGCAAAAAGCTTTTTAGCTTGGAAAAATAACACATAAAGACCTAAGGAGATTTCTGATCGTTATAAACGGAATCAGCATGGTTCATAACCTGCAATACACTAGCTTTCAATGAAAGCACGATCGTTTAATTGAAGATGGTTCTCTCGTCCGAATTTTTAAGACTGCTTTGTTTAACGTCCATGCAATCGTCCATTCAGCCTAGAATATCTTCTCAGATAACTGAATTTGTCGAAAAAAGAATACCTTAAATTGACAACAAAATCTCGAGATTCATCAATTCAAACAAAGCTTATTTTATTCTTTGCTATTGTTTATCTTTTGATTTTATCCTCATACAATTTAAGTGAAAAGCAAAAATAGTCAAACTCGAAAAAAGGAATTTAATATCTCATTTATTATCTTACATAGAGTGATTTGCTTTTCAAACGCATACATGAATGATATATCTCATATGTATAGAACAAATTAGATCTAGAAAAAATATTTTCTGCTTGAATTAGACAGAAAATAAAACGAATATCAACCAAACGAAATTGGGTGACTGAAACGTAGAATTACCATCAGAAAAGAAAAATAGAAACTATATGTCATTGAAATTTTTAAAAGTATACAATAATCTTGATGATTTGAAACAATTGTTTCATTTGATGCATTTGTTTGTTAGATGTCAACATCATTTGTTCTATCTGGAGCTGATGAATTTGGGTTACTAGTCTGACCAGAATTTTTGTTTTTCGTTTTTTTATCTTTAGTTACTGCTGTTAGTTTATTTATTTGACGAACAAGATCAAAAAATATCTAAATCATATGCAAAATCAATTATTTTGTTTTTATAAAGTATATTTTAAAAAGCTGAACCTCATTAACATTTATTCTCTGTTTTGCAGGTGTTTCTAGAAATGTTGAATTCCAATAGTGTGCTAATGCTTTACCAAATCCTTTTCCAACTACATGTTCATCTTCAAGATCACATTTATTTCCTACTAGTACCGTTGGTACCCATATTAATTATTACAAAAAATGTATATAAATAATATCGTAAATGACAAACAAAAAATTTTCTTACATCAAATGTATCTTTTATTTTAAGAATTGTATCACGTAAATCAATAAGATTATTATATGTTGATTGAGCAGTTATTGAATATACAAGTACAAATCCTTGACCATTTTTCATATACACATCTCGCATAGCAGTGAATTGTTTCTGAAAAATATTGAAAATCTATTCTCATGCTGTTCATATATGATGTTATTCATGACCATTCTTTTGAAACATGCCAGCGTAATCCTTATAGAGCTGAATTGTGGAACACATATATGTTCCTTAGCCTCATTAGAACTATACAAAAATACGTTAAATGAAAAATCTCTAACAGACTATACTTGTTTTTCAAGAATAACCAATCCACAGAGAAACGATCTGCTGCATCGATCTCTGTATTCCATATTATTATTCTAACCATTGAATCAACTGGCAAAAATTCTGTTGTACATGTGTATTATATCTATGTGGAGCCTCAATCCACTATTGCATACTTTGCTCGAAACAGAAATAATGGTATTGATCATTTTATTCAAAAATTTATTTCAATTTCACGAAGTAAACTAACAATATTGAAAAAGTTAATTTTATACATGTTATTATACATGGTCGAGAATAGATCGAAATGGTGACTTAAAAGATCACAAAAGAAATTTTGAAATCAACCAATGTTTTGTATGAATACAAAGCGATACGTAGTATCTTTCTTTTATTTATTAGTATTTTCTATTTTATAGGAGAGAGGAATTCAAACAAAACAAAAATTGATCCTCAAATATGTGAATAAGGTGTGGGTGTGGTTGTGAGTATCATTTCTTTTTAGGCACACTCACACCTTTCTGTAGCAATTTTAAAAGTCAACTATAATGATAATTAAACAGAAAAATTTTTTTGAAACTTATATAGATGATTTGTAGTTAATTTAAACGAAACTACCTGAACTGAAAGCAACTAATTGAGTGTATATTGGACGTGAGTGTAGACTATGTATAGAATGAAAGAATCAGTAATGCCCGGACGTACACCGTAGCTCTTGTAGTGTTTTGTAATGTATTAAGCGTTTATTAAAGTGTATGAAAAATAGTCTGATCGATCCCTCATTGATTAATAAAAGAGATCTGATTGTCAGCAAAGATCAAATATGATATTTGAAGGAGAGTTCTTGTCTGTTTCAAAGTATTGGAAGGTAATGCGTTAATAAGTGTCATAAGACTAACTTTATCAGAATCCACTTTCGAAATCCTTCTAGAAGAGTTTTTTTAAAGAAGAAAAACCAAATCTTTCGAGAAGATTGATCTTATCAACTACAGACCCTAGTTTATGCTAATGACATCTGCATAATGGTAGCGAATTCGATTGTTTACATCTATCTTCAATATTTATTCTCCAGTACTCCTCTGATTCATCATTCACTGGTCTTCATCAAAGTTTAAACTTTTTTTTGACTTCTCTTTGCATCTTATTGTGCAAGATACCTTTAGTTCCTCGAATGTTGTTCACTTTTGTATTGTTCTTTTTGACTTCATACTATGCAACAGCACTTAAGAATGACGATGAAAATACATAAAAATTTCATTTTTTATTGCAAGTTTTCAACACAAACATATGTCATCATCAGGCAATTATGAAAATTTTTCACCATCCCGAGAATACATCACTGTTTTATTTTACGTTTTTATTCATTAGAATCATATGCCAATATATTTTGATTTATGGAAGTTTAAATTGTGATTCATTTTTACAGAATGTTTTACAACAGTTGATGATTGATCATTGTTCAATTGATATTTTTCTTTATATTGTGGATATCCATGCCTACCTACATACCCACATCCAACTCGTAGGATTTTAGGTGGAAACAGCGGAAGTGAAAATGACTTCCTTTTTCTAACGTTGCATATTTCGCAGAGTTCAATAGTGAATAAGAAACAGGAATATATACGCCTGTTGCATCTATTCTGTTTTGCCTTGAAGTAACATGATGCATGGTTTTTTCCCCACAAATGACTCATTTTTTTCTTTTCTCCCATGTGCCTTTTTGTTTTTTCTTTCCAATATGACTCAAACATTTCTTATCGTCATGGGCAAAGTATTTCCCTTATGAGCTTCCCAAAGTGATGCAGTAGATTTTGGAATAAGCCTAGCAAGATATGATCGCCTCTATTTAACAACCTCAGTACATAGTGATTGAATGCAGTAGACCATCATTCGATAATCATTATTTTATTTACTGAAACATTTTTGCATTCAACAAAAAAGTATCGAAGTAAGTCTCAGGCACACCCTGTTCAATCTGAAAGAGCAAATTACATAAGACATCTTTTTTCTGAAGGAAATCATCCAACAAAATTTGTTTTCACTGCATGTTTATCGATTTAATTAGTAGAACCTTGCCTGTATACTGTATATTTAAACCGATTTCCCCGACTGATTCCATGCATTTCAAAAGCACATTTTCAAACAGAAATCTTTTCACTGTCAGAAAAAGTATCGAAACGAGAAGTTTCGAAAAGTTCTTGACAAAATAATTCTCAAGGAATATTTTTGTCAGCAATAAAATTTGAAAGATTAATCCTAAATAGAACTATTCATACTTAATCTTTAATTATGAAATTCAATTATTGAACATCAATATACTAATGTTCTTTTGAATTTATTTCAGCTTATTAAGATTTCAACTTGATTTTTCTGGAATGGCAGTACCTCTGATCAATATAACCAATACATCTTCTGACATCTCTGTATCTGCAACTCGCACATCACTATCTTCGACTGCTATTAGTGATAAACTTCGTGTATTGCGTGAAAAATGTGCTCAATTCAAAAAATGTGACATTCATACGATGAATGCTCTTAGTGCAGCAGGTTTTTCTTATACAAATCAAGGCGATACTGTACGCTGCGGGACTTGTGGACTCGAAGTATCGAATTGGGATGCCAACATGTCTCCATTTCTAATTCATGCTCAGCGTAGTCCATCCTGTTCATTCGTTCGTTCATTTCAAGCGGCACAGAATCGTATCAAACAAACAGCTCATCAAAGAAATGAATCAAAGTGTTCTCGTAAAAAAATCATTTTTGAAAACGATATTGTTAAACAAGTTCGTGTTCGAACATTCTCTAATTGGCCACATCAAACATCACCTTCTCGTGCACAAATGATTGAAGCTGGTTTTTATCGATGCAATGTGCTCGATCGAGTCATTTGTTTACATTGTGATTTGATTTGTCAACAATGGATACCACTCGTCGATGATCCAATTGAAGTCCACCGAACATTATCACCGAAATGTCCTTTTGTAATAGCCATGCTAACAAAAACTGAAGAGGTATCCATATCGCCACCGGCTATTATCAATCAATCATCGACAAACAGCACTAATCAACCTTCTTCGAGCCTGAACAACATTGAATTGTTACGTGTTGGTAACGTTGCTAGTGCTTCTCCCCATCACAGTGCCTATGCTGAAACACCAAAACGTGAAGCATCCTTTGCGACCTGGTCCAAGGAAGAATTACCTACCATAGATAATCTTGTTCGAGCTGGTTTCTTCTATAGTGAAACAGACAACACCGTGACATGCTTCTATTGCAATGGTTCTTTGCATGAGTGGAGTTCACACGACGATCCAGTGATGAAGCATGCTCATTGTTTTCCCCATTGTGCTTATATCAAACAGCTTTGTGGTGATGACGTTCTTCGTAAAATTCAAGAAGCGAAGCAACTCGAACAACGTAAGTTGTGATGAATCTGTTAGTAAGGGAAATATCGATATAAATTTAACGTTTCCTTTTTTTTTTCTAGAACGTGAAATAATAAATAATGGAAACATACAGACTATGACAACACCAAAGAATATCTTTGACGAACATACGTGTGGACGTATGGTTGCTGCACGTCTTGATTTGCCTATTTCACAAAAATTACTCAGCCAAAATTTTTCTTTGTCAATCATTCGACGTTGTTGGGAAGATCAACTTCGACTAAAAGGTATAATTTCGTTCATCAATCGGTCTTGCATACATCATTTTTTATTTTAATTTAGGTGATGATTTTGTCAGCGATAATGATTTGAAAATAGCTTGTACTATTCTACAAAAGCAGATCGAATGTATCAATGGAAATAAAGAAAACATAATTGTACCCAGCATAGAAATGGCAAAACGTCGCGAGTCAAATAACAACAGTAAGCATTATTGATTGAATCATATTGAGTTTTTTATTCTAAGTAGCAATTTTTATTCTAGATGCGATGGAAACTGATTCATCATCTCTAATCAATATAAGCAATGGTCCCATTTGTCAACCATCATCATCAAACCAAATGCCAACAAAAGTCAATGAAATGAATACGGAAAATAGTGAATCACCGTCGAATCCCTGTGCACTCTGTTTGACAGAAGAAAGAAAACTCGCTTGTATACCATGTGGTCATTTGGCAACATGCGTACCTTGTGGTCACTCTCTACGAAAATGTCCTTTGTGTCGACAAAACATCAAAGCTTATCTGAGAATTTATGTCTAATCACAACCTTGAACAAAATCCTATTTCTGATACTTACTACGTCGTTTGTAGATCAGATGTTCATCTGTTTTTTTTTGTATATTTTCTGTCTGACCTTTTAATATGATTGAGTTCGCCTTGTAAAAGCTTTATTCGTTGTACAACAACGTGTTTATTTAACTGAATTCAAAACCATACTTGAAATTCTTATCTTCTTTCGTTAATGTACTTGTAATTTTGAGGATGTACAGTTGAGCATCATTCACAGATACCTACTCATCATCACTAATAACGACAACTATATGCATTAGCACATCCACACACTATCAAACTCACCTACATCTTCAAAGTGACATGTTTCACTAATGCTCTACGTAGAGTAGCCAAATGCAATCCACTTTTTTTCTGAAGTCGAAGACTAGATGACTCAATGATAACTATAGTAGTATAAGTTTATGATATTGGATCGAACTTTAGGTACTATAACGTTAACGTTTCGTCGTCACATATGATGTTGGAATCGAAGGATACCACGCAATATCTTGCTTTCAGTGGTCAATGGAAATTTGAGATTTGTTACTGATATTTTCTATATTGTTTGCTGGATTTCTTGATTGCAGTTCAGAATTATGTTACTTCCCA